CTTGCGCACACAAGATTTGACTCACCTAACTCACCTGCGCACACAGCCTTTTTTATACATTTAACTCACCTGCGGGACCCAGGAGTTGTTGTTGCGCTCTCTCTGGATCAGGTGCATTGGAAGGAGTGAAGTCGCATCCCTCCAAGTACTGAAAGTACATGGCCACATGAGGCAGCACATAACAGAAACTCTGCATTCCAACTCCTTGCAATTGTGATCGAAGGTGCTGCTCAGCCTGTTCTCTTGAGGGCAGCTCAATCAATTCAGTCACCCATGCTGCACCACTTGCCAACTGAATGTTGCACCAAGTCTGTGTGCTTGGGGAGATGGCTGAACGCTCAAGATCAGTCTGTGCATGAGCCATGTCGTACAACGCCAAGTTGCGTTCAATGTGTCCATCGTGGAGGATCTGAGCGATCTCTGCGCAGCTGACAATGTCTCCACAGATCTCCACAGCGAAGAGTGCTGGATTTGTGGCCACTTCATTCTCCAGCACTCTTCGCTGTGAAGCCCTGTCAGATGCAGGAGCCATCTCCCTTGCGTGCCAAGGCAAGCTTCTTTCTTTGTCACACCCAGCTCCAACGCTTGCTGTGTTGTGTACATGGCTCTGTTTGCAGCAGGTGTGGGTTTCCCAGCAGTAGTAGCGTGCGTCGCGAACCAAACAACATTTGATTCCACAGCATTGGTGCTGCTCAGCAGGACTGCGCTGATGGCCGACCAAATGTTCTTCCATTCGCTGAAAGCTTGCTGTGGTGGTGGCACGGGGTTGCCTGGTTTCACCTCGAAACAACCTTGGATTCTGTAGAAATCAACCCGGACTCAAGTGTCCTGCCTCAACTTCTCCCAATGAACGAAAAACCTTTAAAATGTTGCTCTACAAAGCCGCTGCGCTGCTCCGCACTGCTCGGACTCTGCGTGGGTGCGAAACATCAGGCGTACCTGGATCCGAGGGTGCAAAGGGCCTGTGGAGTCCTTCGGTGGGAACAGGATCAAGGGACCTGGAGTCGACTTCGGTCATACCCTTCAAAAATGGTACATGACCCAAAACCAAGCTAACATGTTGATTGGGGCCCCATTTCTGAGATACGAAGTGAAAGCTCTAAGGATGGAGTCGACCTTTGATACGAGTATCTAGTATATGATTATGTTGTTTATTTACGTCGCGTCCCATGTTCGAGGGTACGAACGAAGACAAACCCAGGCTGCTGTCAATATATGGTTGCTTCGTTCCTTTACAGAAATTCAATGCCCGGCATGGATCGGAAAGAAAGCGCAATGCCCTGGTGAATCCCAGGGCAGAGTTTTCGGAACCAGGCCTGGCCTGTTTCGGAACCGGTCGATGGTTGAGGTCAAATTCAAACTGGAAGCACATCTATATACTATATATATATAGTGTTTGGCAACTGGATCCCCTGGGTATCATGTGCAGGCTTTTGTCCGATTTTTGTTCTTCTTCACTCCAGCCCGGTCACCAAGAGGACTTGATCTGATTATGTACTTTATACATGAAGACACCTCAACCAGGCAGGAAATGGCAGGAACTCTGTCCTGTCCATTCTTTAACCATACATACTCAATGCTCCGTGTACATGGATAGACTTGCATGTATAGAACATTCTGGCATCTATATTATTCTGCATGCATCTGCATACTATATTTATACTAGTAAATATGTACAGAATATGTTCTCCAGAGTACACTGTCCCTCCATTCTTCGAACTTACTGGCTCAAGTCCTGACAACTCTCCGGCCTCAAAGTCTCAACGAGGCCTTGGTGGTTGAGACAATCGAAGAGACGTCTTGCATGCTCTGGCTGACTCCTAGGGCTCGCGACCGACCATCAGGTTCTATTGTCTTTCCTATTCGTAAACTGCCCTGACTTGGTGACCCGTGAAAAAGGAATCTCCGTCAGCAGTCAGGGAACCTGAACTTTTGACCCGAGTCACCGGGTGGGTCAGGAATTTCCGACGGTCTCACCTGGTGTAAACATCAAAGCTGGATCTTCCACAAGGCTTCCCGACCGTGACCGTTCCTGACCGTTCCCCGACCTTCAGAGTCCTAGAGTCCTCCTTCAGAGTCCTAGGTGACCGTCACGTTGAAGTGTTTCTTTCCCCCACCGAAGGGTGAGGCTCAACAGTGAAGGCTTCAAGCAAAGTCACTGAACACTGGAATGCAAGGGATTCTTGGAATTCAAGTCCAAAGAGTCCAATCATGGTCTCTTGGAAGAAACACATGGTAGCGCTGCAGAAACACATTTCCAAACACTTGTCCTAAAGTCCCCCTCACATTCCACAGCTGTTGCACCAAAACCACTGGTAGCAGGGCAAAGGTGAAGGACTTTTCAGGTGAAATGGATGCTTCCAAAGCTGCGAAGTAAACGATTTGAAGCAGCTTTTGGGATTCTGTTTGTACCCAGAAGCACTCTATGTTTGGCAGATCTCTACGACGCCCCAAGGGGTGAAACCAATAGACACCCCTTAAGAATCCCCAGTAGCCGCTAAGGGAGCAGTCGGAGCAGTGATCATATGTATAATGTGCATGTTTCCATAGCGACAGTGTGGCTCGCTTTGAGCCAAACAAAACGGCTTGTGATCTAAAGAATTCATTGCTCAAGATCTTTGTAGAAAGAATCTCCTTCCGCCGTGACTCTTTTTTCACCCAGCTGAACTGCCAGTGACTAGACCTAGCAAGGAATTTGGGGGTCCATCTTTGGGTCAGGGTGCCGGGCATGCACTGGGACCGGGAACAACAAACATATACCTGGAATGTCCAGAGTACCCTAGGATGCTTTCGGGTCATGTTCCATTCTTAGGGTACAGTGGAGGGTCCAGGATATTGAAATATCTTATCAATGGTCTAACCCTCTATTGGAGATTGCTTGTCCGAGGTGTTCCCAAACAACCAAATGAAATATATAGATCATTATATAGATCCGTCTGGTGATTCCATCACAGTGGCTACAGCCCCAGACTGTCCTGCAAGCATTGATGGCTAGAGTGTAGCTGCGCTCATCAGGGCTCATGGAGGGCGAATCTTCCTCAGTTTTGGAAAGGAAGTACATGAGACGTTCCATTGCGGCCTTCAGTTTCGCTGTGGCAAACACAGGTTGACCTTCTTCCACACCTTAAAGTAAAAATGTACAAGCGCACAGTAACTCACTCACGGTCTGGGCACATAAGCCCCAGGGGGGAAAACAACACAACATGCAAAAACACCAGTTGAACCCAGTTTGCCAACCCCATCAGCTTCATCTGGAATTCTTTTGCTGTGTGGAACGGAGCACGACTTGGCCAAATCCAAGCACATCCGAGGGGTGTGTGGAAATTTATGCAGCCCCACCACAAGTGGAAGATCAGATAGTATACAAACTTATACTCTCCAGGGCTTCTCAAGGTGCTCTTCCAACTCTTGACTGACTCGACTATTGGGGATTTGTCACACCATGAGGCCGCCACAAAAAAGAAAGAACTGCTCAATGAACATGTATAGCGTCCATCACCTGAAAGTAGTGAAGGGCCAGTTGCCAAAGCTCGCCTGTCCTTGGACTTCGCTCGACGGCACACTTCGAAGGCCCTGGAATTCTCTTCTTCGCTAGGTTTTAGGTGATCAATTCCTTATGGCAGTGACCACATTGTAGAAAATCTAAATCTAGGAGAAGTGAGAAGCACTTCAACATGCCCAACAAAATAGGACCGTATCAATGTTCCGAGGTACTTTGAGACTCCAGGTTCCAGGTATTTTTGTTGAAGACCTTGAGCCTTCTCTTGCCACAGATCCAGCGAATGATGATGGTCAAAACATTATGAAAAATTCTAATGAGACCTACAATGTTACAACGACTGTTGCTCAGATCCTTGACCAAAGACCAGGTTCGTAAAATTGATTCCCACATCTTCTGCATGCTGCATGGCAATGGGTAAATCGATGCTGGACTTGAACAAGCTGCATGCTGCTGGACTTGAACATGTGTTCGTTGCTTCGTCAGACTGTGTTTCTGTCGCCACGGCGCCACCGTCGGACGATCCACCGGTTCGGAGCGAGTGACGATGACGATCCGCCCCGGCCTTTTTTTAAAGTAAACATGGTGAAAACAAACATCAACAGGTAAACAATGGTAAACATCAACAGTACAAATAGAAACAAACATCAACAACATCAACAGTACTCATGTTCGGAACTTGTTGAGACTCCGAGCGGCGCGGCTGCGGTGAGCGCTGCGTTGTACGTCTCACAGTTGGGATGAATGCGGAGGGCCTCGGCTTTGGTGTGCTCTTTGTGCCAGAGACTGGGGAGCGAATGTATGTATAGTATTTACATATATATATATTAATAAACATAGTATATATGATATTGTAATATATATTATACAATGTGCCGTGCCCTAGCCTTCTTATAATATAAGAAAAGGTTGAAATGGCTTTGACTGGGCTTTTATATATGTAAAATCCTTAGTAAAAGCCATGGTTGTTCGGTAGAGGGTGTTAAATCAATGGTGGATCGAATCGTGACTAGGCTATATATCCACACGTGGCTTACCATTGAGTTAATATTTTTTTGCAGTATAGGGATTCTAACTGCATATTTGCACATATGTACATTGATCTACATGATAAAACATGATAAAACAACTATATAACCATCCCTAGGGATCCTGCGTATACGATTATTGCGTGATTCAAATGTAGAA